CTTCCTTCCTTCCTTCCTTCCTTCCTTCCTTCCTTCCTTCCTTCCTTTCCTCCCTCCCTCCCTCCCTCCATTTATTGATCTATCATCTATATCATCTATCCATCCATCCATCCATCCATCCATCCATCCATCCTTCTTTTTCATCATCATCTCTCTCTCTCTCTCTCTCTATCTTCATCATCATCCATCCATCCATCCATCCATCCATCCATCCATCCATCCATCCATCCATCTCTATCAATCTCTATCAATCTCTCTCTCTCTCGTTTTTGCTTACTGATCATGGTCTCAAAGGACAGTTCACCTTCGTCCAGTCCAGGAGCGAATGGCTCTTCCTGCAGTCTGTGGCATGCTTAATAACCCTCTTCAGATCCACAACCTCCATCTGTTTGTGATTGATTCTCTTGATCTTTCTCAGCATCATGCTACAGGCTAAGACAAAAGAGTTGTGTTTCCCCACGCTCTGAACCAGAAACTACCCAACTTGTCTGAGCTTAACTTAGCATATTGTGCAAAGTCAGGTCATGTATTGCTTTCCCCCTCAATTTTCCAAAGCCTTCATGCCCACATTCAGTGCAATGTACTGTAGAGCAAAGCCCACACTGCATGATGAGAGCGCTATGGCTTGTGTATGTACCTCTACCATTATGTTGTCTGTCTGTCTGTCTATCTTCTTTGCCTTGAGTCAGTTATGTCATTTGCCAATTATATGGACAAGTCCATCCAGTATTTTCAAAAGTGGTTTGCCCTGGCCTTCTTCCTCCTAGGGCTGAGAGAGAGGAAACTGGCCCAAAGTCCCACAGCTGGCTTTGTGTCTAATGCAGGACTAGAACTCAGGGTCTCCTGGCTTCTAATTTACCAGCTATAACCACTACACCACCTGGCTCTTGGGCTGAGAGAGGGGGACTGGCCCAAAGTCACCCAGCCAATTTTCAAGCTTTAGGTGGGACTAAAACTCAGGTTTCCCTACATCTAGTCCAGCAGCTTAACCACTTATGTTAATTAAATATACTTATAACAGTAATTAATTTCCCATTTGTATATTTGGTGATATGTATATTATTTATTTATTTATTCAATTTGTACACTGCTGGATTCCCAGTAACTCTAGCGGTTGATAGATCATCAGGGAGAAAACCTATCTATGTGGTCTCTAAGAGTCAACACCAATTTGATGGCACATATATCTTTTTTACCCAACACATAATTCAACTTTGGAATTTGCTACCCCAAGATGTGGTTCTGGTTACCACCTTGGCTGGTTTCAAAAAGGGTTGGACCAATTCATGCAAGTCCTGAATGTAGTGGAGAAAATAAATCTAACAAAATGGAGTCTGTATTCTTTTTTCCTGTCTTTTAGATGTGATCAGGTGTAACAGTGTGTGAGAAAGACCTTGGGAGATGGGGCAAAGAGATGCTGCCTAGGGAATGGTCAGATAAGAGAGAGCACAGGCCACAGCTGCATAATGGGTGGGAAAAAAGGCTCAGAAGGGACCCTCTATCACTTCTCAGGCTGTAAAGGAGACAGGGGGAGAATCGTACAGTACTTTCACACTTGCAAGGTTCTGTTAATATAGCCTTACAATAAAGTAGAATTAGCTCATCTGGTCATGTTTCCTATCTAGTCTACCTGGGAAGGCTGACATCAGGGCCAAACCCAGTTCATCTCTTTGCCTAATCCTATCAGACTCAAATTGACGCTCCCCCCCGCCCCCCGACAAAACCCCCAGCAATCCCCACC